CTTTTCCCAAAATGCCTAACAATCAGTCCCACAAATAGACTACACAGAAGGCTGCTCCTCTGATGCTTTTGTATCTCTGTGGATAACACAGTGTGTAGTGTAGAAATGGGTTTATATTACATGTATTTTTATTACTTTTTTTTTTTGGTACCAGGGATCAAACTCAGGTCCTTGCACTTGCACAGCAGGCGGCAAAACCACTGAGCTAAATCCCTGGCACCTTACCTGTATTTTTATAAGCACTAATATAATAGGTTAAAAATGGAATTTCATGTTTTAAATTTTTAATGCTGTATGAGATTGAAAATATTTTTTGTGTTTACTGGCAATTTGTTCTTATTCTTCTTTGAACTGTCTTTATGCCTTTGTGACAATGATATCTTCTACTCCTTCCTTGAAATATTCTTCTTCTTTGACTTTCTAGCTTTCTTTCCTGACTACTCATTCTCCGAGGACTCTTTTTTTTTGGCAGGGGTACTGGGGATCAAACTCAGGACCTTGCACTTGTGAGGCAGATGCCAGAACCACTGAGCTAAATCCCAGCCTTCTCCGAGGACTCTTTATCAGTCTGTTTCAGTTCTTCTAAATAATACAATAATAATAATAACAACAATTAACATTTCACAAAAACTATGTGCCTGCCATACATTAACCACTTAAAATTGAGTGCTCTTATTATTTGCCTTTTATAGATGAAAGTAAGACTTAGGAAGTTCCACTGTTAATGGGAAAGCTCAAATTTGAGCCTCAGTGCTCTGCTATCAACCATCACACTATATTCTCTCCAGATTGAGTAAAAACATTCTCAAAAGCTCTTTCCTAAGCCTTCTTGTTTCACATATACATATTCCAGAGGTTATCTTATCTGTTCCATTGGCTTCAGAATGGAACTCCTTGAGTTCCTAGTCCTTACAGCCAATAGCTTATGAGATATTGCCAAATGGATGTACTGTGGTTACCTCAAACATAACATATCCAGGATGGAAGTCCATATCTTCCTTAGTCCCCCATCTGTTCTTCAAGTTGATCTCCTCTCACCAATACTATTTTATTTAATAACATTTTCATTTACCCAGTTGCCATACTAGAAATTTCAAAGCCACCTTTGATTTTTGCTTCCATTATGCTTCATATATGATCAGTCAACACAGACTCCAAACTGTTTCTCAACCCATTTCTCTTTACATTCCTTCTACCATGGCTTTAGATAATTAAGGGTCTCAGGATCTCTGTCCTGGACTATTGGATCTTCCTTCTGATTGGTCTGTCTGTTACTCCCTAGATCCACCCAACCTTCCCACTGCTCTCAGAGTTAATGTTCAAAAATGAATAAGTGGGCCAGGGATTTAGCTCAGTGGTTCAGGTGCCTGCCTCGCAAGCACAAGGTCCCGAGTTCGATCCCCGGTACCAAAAAACAAACAAACAAAAACAAATAAGTGATCTTGTCACATTCTGTTCAAAACTCTGTCTATTAAATAAATTCTATTTTCTTTAGCAAAGCACACAATAGTTCCATAATCTGGCCCCGATCTTTCTTTTCAGGTTCATCTGCAGTTTGTTTCTATGCCTGTACCTTACACTACACCCACTCTCTGTCTGTGGTGGTGGACAGCTAAAATTCCAGCACTTGAGAGGCTGGGATAAGAGAATCATTGTGACTTTGAGGCTGGCCTGGGATACATACTGAGTTCAAGGATAGCCTGAACTACATAGCCAGACCCAAAAGAAAAAGAAACTACAACTACTAAAGGCTACATGCATTTCCTCAGAAATATCAAGTATCTCTATGACTCTTTGCTTTTATTCATGATACTTGAAATGCTTTCCTCTGGCTTATTTTCTGTTTGCTGATACTGTGTTCTACATTTGTTTGCAGACCCTGAACCCTGTGTGCAACCAATGCACTCATATTTCTAGCTCCAAGATTTATTCCTTATCCTTTTTTTGTTTATATTTTTGTTAAAGATTTATTTGTAATTTGGTCATGTGTCTCAATTTTCCCAGGAAGAACTATATCTTAAACATTAAGCAACTACATCTTAAGCATTTGTTGTTCTTAGAAGGAGGAGTGTGATACATAAATAACTAAAGTGAACTACATTTGTAAAGGTAGGTAAAAATTAGACTAAACAAAGCTTCTTCTCAAAGCTGAGATTTTCTATGCCTTCTCTATGCACTGAAATCTTATTTGAGGTCCCTGTAGCTATCATTTAACCTTGGAATTAGCTCCTATTTCAGACAAGATTGGGCACGTTCCAGGTGGTATGGCTGTAGACAATTGCTCCTATTTCAAAGGGCCTGTTGTGCTTTAACTACTTTGCAGAGGCTTTAAAAGCCAAGAATTCAAGCTCCTGGCAATGAAAGTATAGCAAGTGTTGTCACTGAATTTCTAGAGGAGGTGGGGTAAAAAGCACACTAGAGCACACTGGAAAGCTAGCAGAGTTCCAGGACATCTGGGATTGATTATTCCAGTAAAATGCCAAAGCAAAGACAATTTTTACACTGCACTTTGACATCTGGGCCTTGGCAGCTACTCCTATGGCTTTGCTCAGCAGTTCTTGAGGAATGAGATATGGGCTTGTTTCAGGGAAAGGAAAACCTTTATTGACTCAGCTAGAGTCCTTCAAAAGTCTTCTGTCCCCTCGTATGGTCTTCTTTGGTAGGTCCAGTTGTCATTAACAGAGAGAATAATTAGGCTTTAAGCACCTAAAGAAACTCATACTACCTGAGTCTGAATTAAGTTATACCAATGTTTCCAAATTTCTTCTCCCTTTTGTGACCCCTGTCAAATTATGGATGAGGAACAATAACACTGGAAGGAAAAGCAACTTCGGACTACTGAGAAAACAAATTTACTCCAGCTCTCCTGAAATTTCTCTTTATTTTTTAAGAGTTGGAGTCCTACTGTATTGCGCAGGTTAGCCCTGAACTCCTGGGCTCAAGCAATGTTTTTGCCTCAGCCTCCCAAGTACCCTGGACTACAGTCATGTGGCACTGTGTCTGGTTCTCTCTTTTTTTTTTTTTTTGGTACTGGGGATCGAACTTCAGTCCTTGTGCTTGCGAGGCAGGTGGCAGAACCACTGAGCTAAATCCCCGGCCCCCTGGTTCTCTTCTTAAATACAAGCTGAGTAAAAACTTCTCTAGCTTTGAGGAAATATCATGCATTTCACCTCTGAAATTACATTCTGTTCTTTTAGTTTCATAATTATTAGCTTCAAAACATAAAATGTATTTTAAATATATTCAAAGATTTAGATTCTTAACCAAATTCCCAGACACATAACATGATCATACTGGCCTATAATAATTGAATGTACTCATTGACTTTGTATAAATCCATTTCATAACTATCACACTGTGTCAGCAAAGACTTTATCTTGCAGGATTTGGCTATAATGTTCAGCA